ATTTTGGTGGTGGGTCACTGATGGTCTGGGGAGGCATCTCCATGGAGGAACATACAGACCTCTACAGGCTAGACCAGCAATGGGCAAACTACGGCCTGCGGGCCGTATATGGCCCGGCGGACCTTTTAATCCAGCCCGCGGAGCGTGATACTGTCAGGATGGCTGTCAGGATGTGTGTAGGCGGGGCAGCGTGACGAATGTGAGGGGAGCTAGGCTCCTCTTACAGTCCGCCCTGAAGACCGGAACGGCGCGGGAACACGGCGAGAGGAACGCGCGGAGCAAAGGTAAGTAAATTGACACAGGGGGGACTTGGCTTACTACTTGGGGGGGGGGAATAGTACTATGGGGGATGAATTACTATATGGGGGATGAATTACTATATGGGGGATTAATTACTATATGGGGGATGAATTACTATATGGGGGATTAATTACTATGGGGGATGAATTACTATGGGGGATGAATTACTATATGGGGGATGAATTACTATATGGGGGATGAATTACTATGGGGGATGAATTACTATATGGGGGATGAATTACTATGGGGGATGAATTACTATATGGGGGATGAATTACTATGGGGGATGAATTACTATGGGGGGGGATGAATTACTATATGGGGGATGAATTACTATGGGGATGTATTACTATATGGGGGATGAATTACTATGGGGGATGAATTACTATGGGGGATGAATTACTATATGGGGGATGAATTACTATGGGGGATGAATTACTATATGGGGGATGAATTACTATGGGGGATGAATTACTATGGGGGATGAATTACTTTATGGGGGATGAATTACTATGGGGGATGAATTACTATAGGGGGGATGAATTACTATATGGGGGATGAATTACTATATGGGGGATGAATTACTATGGGGGATGAATTACTATGGGGGATATGAATTACTATATGGGGGATTAATTACTATGGGGGATGAATTACTATATGGGGGATGAATTACTATATGGGGGATGAATTACTATGGGGGATGAATTACTATATGGGGGATTAATTACTATGGGGGATGAATTACTATATGGGGGATGAATTACTATGGGGGATGAATTACTATATGGGGGATGAATTACTATGGGGGATGAATTACTATATGGGGGATGAAATTACTATGGGGGATGAATTACTATGGGGGATGAATTACTATGGGGGATGAATTACTTTATGGGGGATGAATTACTATGGGGGATGAATTACTATAGGGGGGATGAATTACTATATGGGGGATGAATTACTATGGGGGATGAATTACTATATGGGGGATTAATTACTATGGGGGAATATTACTATACTTACTATGGATGACACATACACATCATTCATCTACTCTTGGTCCGGCCCCCGGGTCCCAATATATGAACCCATTGCGGCCCTCAAGTCAAAAAGTTTGCCCACCCCTGGGCTAGACAAAGGCCCCCTGACTGCTATTAGGCCATTGTCAGACCCTATGCTGGTGCAGTGGGTCCTGTGGGTTCCTCCTGGTTCCTCAGTGCAGTGGGTCCTGGGTTCCTCCTGGTGCAGTGGGTCCTGGGTTCCTCCTGGTGCAGTGGGTCCTGAGTTCCTCCTGGTGCATGACAATGCCCGGCCTCATGTGGTGAGAGTATGCAGGCAGTTCCTGGAGGATGAAGGAATTGACACCATTGAATGGCCACCAAACCTAAATCCAATAGAACACCTCTGGGATGTCATGTTTTGGTCCGTCCAACTCTGCCAGGTTGCACCTCAGACTGTCCAGGAGCTCAGTGATGCCCTGGTCCAGATCTGAGAGGAAATCCCCCAGGACACCATCCATGGTCTCATTAGGAGCCTCCCCCGACATTGTCAGTCAGGCATGCATACAAGCACGTGGGGGCCATACAAACTACTGAGTATCATTTTGAGTTGCAATTAAATTTCAACACAATGGACTCGCCTGTTGCATCACTTTTTCACTTTGATTTTCATGGTGTCTGAATTCAGTCCTCTGTAGATCGATCACTTTCATTTCCTTCAAATGATGGGGTGTCCTTACATTGCCCTGTCCATATCAGTATACATATTCAGCAAGAGACTTTTCCCCATTGAGATCTGATGGGTTTTCAAAGTGTTCCTTTCATTTTTTGAGCAGTATATATATATATATAAAACGTTTTTCATCATCTCAGTGGCACGCCCCATTTTAGGGCTGGACATGTTGGGTATCTATTGACTTGGCACAACCTCATCTTTTATATTTTACTAACAAATTGGTAAAATAATGTATTTGTATTCTCAAAAATTCAAAACTATCACCATTGTATTCTCCAGGGCCTCTCCTTTCATGATATATATGTTTGGGGGTTTACTAATCTTCAGGCCCAAAGACAGCGGTTTAATATGTACGCAAAAGAAAAATGCAGAAACAGCTCTGGCAGTGAGAGGGTTAATGTGGGTTAGATGGGATCACTCTGCTGGGGTCACACTGTACACATTAGAGCGCCCCCTAGCTGCAGCCTGGTAATAACATTGCTGGGAGGTCTATTCACTTACATACTTCCCACCTTTATAGAAACATATTCTGCAGCACAGTGGCTCAGTGGTTAGCAACTCCTCCTAGAAGCACTAATGTCATTGATTTGAATCCCAACCACTTCCCTACCTGTCTGGAGTATGCATGTTCTCCCTGTGCCTGCATGGGTTTCCTCTGGGTACTCCGGTTTCCTCCCACACTCCAAAGACATGTTGTAAGGTAATTGGCTCCTGTCTATATTGGCCCCTAGTATGTGTATGTATGAATGTTAGGGACTGTAGACTGTAGGCTCCGTAGCATGGTCAGTTCTGTAGCTGTGCTGGGAGCTCAGTCTGCTCTCCTCCAATCATCAGACTTGTCCTGACATCCCCCTCCCTGCACAGCCATTCACTGGGAAGACCAGTGAACAGAAGACAAGTGATCACATGAATAGTAGTAAGGAGAATGTCACTTCCTGATATCATTGTTTACTACTAGTGAAATCTGTGAATGATCACCGAGGTCACATGGTACAGGGCTATTCCCAACAGACTTGTATCATGTGACAAGCTGTGACCAATCACAGCTCTTACAGTATTTCTCAATGGCTGCAGGAATGCAGCCAGAAAGGAGAAATGGTTGATTTTACAACCTTTATGGGTGTAAAAAAAACATAAATAATAATATAAAAAAAATAAAAATGTAAAAAATGTTTTTGAAAATTTATAATTTTTGGTTATAAACTAATTTGGGTTTTTTTTTTTTTTTTTACTAAAAAGATATCTGAATACATTTTGGCTGATTTATGAAGAAAGATTGTTTATTTGCAAAATTTCATAAGAATAAAACTTTTTTTTAAAATTTTTGGACATTTTCATTTATATAGCAAAAAAAAAAAAATTCCAGTGTTGAATAAATACCACCAAAATAAAGTTTTATCTGTGTCAGAGTGCGGGAGTGTGACCTCAGAGTGCGGGAGTGTGACCTCAGAGTGCGGGAGTGTGACCTCACGGTGCGGGAGTGTGACCTCAGAGTGCGGGTGTGACCTCAGAGTGCGGGAGTGTGACCTCAGAGTGCGGGAGTGTGACCTCAGAGTGCGGGGAGTGTGACCTCAGAGTGCGGGAGTGTGACCTCAGGGTGCGGGAGTGTGACCTCAGGTGCGGGAGTGTGACCTCAGAGTGCGGGAGTGTGACCTCAGAGTGCGGGAGTGTGACCTCAGAGTGCGGGAGTGTGACCTCAGGGTGCGGGAGTGTGACCTCAGGGTGCGGGAGTGTGACCTCAGGGTGCGGGAGTGTGACCTCAGGAGTGTGACCTCGGGAGTGTGACCTCAGAGTGCGGGAGTGTGACCTCAGAGTGCGGGAGTGTGACCTCAGGGTGCGGGAGAGTGTGACCTCAGGGTGCGGGAGTGTGACCTCAGGGTGCGGGAGTGTGACCTCAGAGTGTGTGCAGTGCTGGAGTGTGACCTCAGAGTGCAGGAGTATGACCTCAGGGATTAGTATGGAGCCCTGTCTGATGAAGGAAACCAAGGGCTCTATTTATAGAACATTCATTGGACCAATGAGACAATCATTCCTCCAGCTGTGACAACATCTGGCCCTATGTTAAGTAACACAGTGATTTCCTATGATCGCCGGCTCCATCTAGTGGCCACAATGAGGTGATTTTTCTGAAATCTCTCCATCAGTAAAACTAGCCCAATATGATATTATGGCCACTAGATGGAGCCAATGATCATAAGAAATAAAATATGGCCAAAACTCCCCAGCTGGAGAATGCCGGTCACATCCGTTCAACATTGTTCTCCATAGACCTCCAAGTGTTTGTGAAATCTCCCACCACAAAATGTACTCAGCCAATCACAGGGCAGGACTCCATTTTTATTTTTCTCTCTTTCTACAAAGGCCAATTGTGTGACTTCATCTCATGTCTTTGGGGAGCCTCTGATCTCCAGGAAGATGGGGCCAATGATGATGAAGTACATATGGCCAATTACCCCCACAATTTTCATAGCAAAATAAATGACAGAATGTCGGTCACATTGTTTTTTATTTCTTTTTTTAGACCTCCAAGTGTTTGTGAAATCTTCCACCACAAAATGTACTCAGCCAATCATCACAGGGCAGGACTCCATTTTTATTTTTCTCTGCAGCAATGGCCAACCCGGTCCCACACTTCATCCATGTCTTTGGGGACCTCTGATCTCCTTATGAACTGTTTCTTCCATGATGAAGATCAGCCATGGAGTATATCTGAGGTGTATATCAGGGTGTGCTTCTTCCCCACATGAGAGCTGGGATGTCCAGCAACATTCATCTAGAAAACATTTCCCGCACTCAAGGCACTAATACACACCTCCAGGGTTGTGTGGGACCCGATACACAGGAAGACAGGACTTCAGTGAGGAACATTTCCCTCACTCAGGACAGGAAAGTGGTTTCTTCTCCCATGTGAGATCTCTGATGCTTGTAAAAGTTGGACTTGGACTTATCTGTGAAAAACATTTCCCACACTCAGGACAGGAATATGGCTTCTCCCCTGTGTGAGATCTCTGATGTGTGGAAAGATTGGAGTTCTTTGAAAAACATTTCCCGCACTCAGGACAGGAATACGGCTTCTCCCCTTTGTGAGATTTCTGATGTGTGTAAAGATTGGACTTCTCTGAAAAAAATTTCCCGCACTCAGGACAGAAATATGGCTTCTCCCCTGTGTGAGATCTCTGATGTTTGTGCAGAGTGGACGTCTGTGAAAAACATTTCCCACACTCAGGACAAGAATATGGCTTCTCCCCCGTGTGAGATCTTTGATGTGTGTGAAGATTGGACTTCTCGGAAAAACATTTCCCGCACTCTGAACATGAATATGGCTTCTCCCCCGTGTGAGATCTCTGATGTTTATACAGTTGGTACGTCTGTGAAAAACATTTTCCACACTCTGCACAAAAATATGGCTTCTCCCCCGTGTGAGACCTCTGATGTCTGAGAAGTTTTAATTTTTCTACAAAACCTTTCCCACACTCAAGACAGGAATATGGCTTCTCCCCTGTGTGAGATCTCTGATGTATGGAAAGATTGGACTTCTTTGAAAAACATTTCTTGCACTCAGGACAGGAATACGGCTTCTCCCCAGTGTGAGATCTCTGATGTATGAAAAGTTTTGATTTTTCTACAAAACATTTCCCACACTCAGAACAGGAATGCGGCTTTTCTCCTGCATGAGACCTCTGATGTATGATAAGTTTTGATTTTTTTATAAAACATTTCCCACACTCAGGACAGGAATATGGCTTCTCCCCGTGTGAGATCTCTGATGTGCATAAAGATTGGACTTGTCTGAAAAACATTCCCGCACTCAGGACAGAAATATGGCTTCTCCCCCGTGTGCGATCTTTTATGCCTATTAAGTTTGTATTTAGAACAGAACCCCTTCCCACACTCAGTACAGGAGAAACCTCTTCCCTGTTGGAAGGCCGGCCCGGTCCCGCACAGTCTGAGGTTCCTCAGGATACGAGGAATCCGATGGTCCATCTACACTGGGTGGTGCCGGATGGACATTGGAGGGAGCCGGGTTTTCTCCTGGACTATACTGTGTGATGTCCTCATCTTCTACTTTCCAGTCTGGAGACAAAGTGAGACAATCCCTCAGAGGTTTTCCTCATCTCCCGGCCATGGACTAAAATACAAAGACAGAGGATTACTAGACAGGAGCTGATTGGTTCCCCCAAACCAGGACTCCACCCACATCAGTATGGCAGGATGTAATGTACAACATAGAGTATATAGTGCAGTGCAGGGGTCAGGAGTATGTGCAGGGGTCAATGTACAACATAGAGTATATAGTGCAGGGGTCAGGAGTATGGAATGTACAATATAAATTATACAGTGTAAGGGTCAGGACTCATAATATTGGTATTCAGTAATCAGTGGAAGATTAAATGTTTACTGTAGACAAGTTGCAGAGATCCCACCCGCTGCCTCCCATCTCCTGAGACTGCACTCAGTGACTTGGGTCTGAGACACTACAGACATATCCCTCCACCCGGCACAGCCAGCAGACCACAGAGCAAGGAACCCTGGGAGAAATGTTCTGTCAGAGATCCTGTTAGCCCCAGGATAAGGGGTAGAAGACCCAATACACACATGTCCCAGGTCAATCAACACCTATTGTGAACATCAACATTTTGCTGCCAGCTGAACCCCAGAACCTCCATAAATCCAGTCTAGATACATAAATTGTGTCTGCAGCACAGAGAAGGAAGATTATCCGAGAGAAATCCAGGAATACAGGACGGGGAACACAGCTCAGGAAAGTGACCAGGGGATTACAGGCTGATATCACCCAGTCCCCCCGCCCTACTCTGGACCAATCAGTGAGCAGTATGGGTGGAGGAATGGATTTAGTGTTCATGACCCACCTGTGCTGATCTCTGTAGGAGTGTGTCCTCCTCTATAAATGTCCCCCGTTATTCCATCCTCCTCCATAGACTGCTGATCATCCCTCACATACGCCTCTTCTTCTTCTGCTTTCACCTCAAATTCTATATCGATTGGATCTCCACACTAAATCAAGGAAATGAGAGAAAATATCATCTGTAAAATGTAAATTTATATTGTGACATCACACAAAAAATCCATTGTGTCTACACAAGTCCATGTACTAGATGCTCCATCCCACCAACCTTGTAATAGTGAGGGATGGTGTGACCTTCCTGTGTGGAATCCCGGGAATACAGAGGACGGGGACATCTCTCTGGTGGGTTCCTGGTATTAGGTGGCTCCATCATATCCTTGTGTCCTTCTGAAAACTCCTCCATCACTCCATACTCCTCATCCTCCTCTTTATACTCTTCTTTAACATCAATATTATCATCCCCGAGGATTCCACTCTGAAAGATATAATAAAACATTCATTGTAACAAACATGCTGTGTATAAATCACAACTACCAATAATTGTCATCATCTACCTGATGATGGTGAGGGATGGTGTGACCTTCCTGTGTGGAATCCCGGGAATACAGAGGACGGGGACATCTCTCTGGTGGGTTCCTGTAGCTGGATGACTCCACCATGGTGTGTCCTGGTACAGATCTTTGTGTTCTTTTAGAAGCTCTGACTCCTCCATCCCCCCTCCTCATCCTCCTCCTCTTTTATCTCTTCTTTAACCTCAACTTTAGGATCTCTCAGGTTTCCACTCTGAATATATAATAAAAATGACATCAATGGTAACAATGCAGATAATGTGTACAGATCCTAATGATACTATCAGTGATTGTTCCTCATCTACCTGATGATGGTGAGGGATGGTGTGACCTTCCTGTGTGGAATCCCGGGAATACAGAGGACGGGGACATCTCTCTGGTGGGTTCCCATGACTGGATCCATCTGTAGGAAACACACACACACTGACTGAATCCATTGTTTCTATGTGTTTATCAGATGATGGGGGATCTAGGTGGATCCTCCGTACTGCTCTCTCCTTTACAATAAAGTCTCCTCTTACCCGGTGATGTGAGGGGCGGCTGATTGTCCATCATGACGTCCTTGTAGAGATCCTTGTGTCCTTCTAAATACTCCCACTCCTCCATGGAGAAATAGACAGTGACACCCTGACACCTTATAGGAACCTGACACACACAATGATACAGTCACCATCCAGACACATCCCTTGTCTGTTACTGGAGAATGTCCCAGAATTCCCGGCACCGCTCACCTCTCCTGTCAGCAGCTCAGTGATCTCTCTGGTGACTTCTAGAATCTTCTTCTTCTTTCTCTCTTCTATCAGGGAGGGAGGTGGAGGCAATGTGATGTCATATGATCTCCAGACTTCACAGGAGGAAAACTCTACATCTGAACACAAATAGTCACATCAAATGATATTCCCAGAATCCTCCTCACCTCTCCATTCAGGACCCAGGTCTCCATTTTATTAAAGCCCCACTTCAGGCTGAGGTATAATTCCCCCCCACAGGACCCCCACACTACGCAGGGTATAGGCTTGTTGCAGCATTCTGATGTCATTACATACAACGCAGGACCAACAGTCCCACTTTACATGTGAGGATACCAAGGGACCCACACATCCTAAGAGCATCAGAAAAAAAAGCCAGATGGAGGGACATGGGAGGAGGAGCTGTGAGGTCAGTGTGATGTCATAGGATTCTCTGACTCTGGATGGAGGGACATTGGGGGGAGGAGCTGTGAGGTCAGTGTGTGATGTCATAGGATTCTCTGACTCTGGATGGAGGGACATTGGGGAGGAGCTGTGAGGTCAGTGTGATGTCATAGGATTCTCTGACTCTGGATGGAGGGACATTGGGAGGAGGAGCTGTGAGGTCAGTGTGATGTCATAGGATTCTCTGACTCTGGATGGAGGGACATTGGGAGGAGGAGCTGTGAGGTCAGTCAGTGTGATGTCATAGGATTCTCTGACTCTGGATGGAAAGACATTGGGAGGAGGAGCTGTGAGGTCAGTGTGATGTCATGTCATAGGATTCTCCGACTGACTCTGGATGGAGGGACATTGGGAGGAGGAGCTGTGTGAGGTCAGTGTGATGATGTCACAGGATTCCTCTGCTCCCATGCAAACCAAATTCTGGACTGAGTGACCTTTGACCTTTACCATCCAGAAATCTGTCCGGAAGGTGGAAGTAAGCTGTCAGTGATCAGGTGACGTGCGGAGGAACGGAGTGTAAATAGCAGACAATTGTCTCCCCCCTAATGGTGGGGATGGATTTGGCGGCGTGCTGGTGCCAAGTTTCCTCCCCCCAGGGTCACTGCAGGTGTGGAGAAAAGCTGTGTAAGAGGATATGGAGGAGAGATGAGGAGGAGATCCAGGAATCAGGAGAAAGGTCAGGGCAAGCAACAGACGAGCGCATCCAAGAGACCAAGCCGGGGTCACTACACAGAAAATCAATCCAAGGAAACAACAGGCAGGACGAGGAATAGCAAGAAGGAGCTGAGAGACAAATGAGAATATTGCTCAGCCAATGGGAGATGATCTCAGCATGACTTCCATCATGAAGGAGATGAGGGGGAGGGGAGGAAGTCACTGAAGGTGACCATAGATCCATGGAAATTCAGCTGGTTCAGCAGGGATCGCTCACATTTCCATCCATATGTGTGGCCACTGCCGGATAAAAGCCACTCCCCCAGCGGCTGCAGCCAATAGCTTCAGTGCTGATCTGTGTATTCTGAGAGCGGAGGAGTCCCCCCATTGTCAGAATACAAGAGTGCAGCGGGGAGGATTCCCCCATCCACCTCCAATGTGTGGATGGGGGAATCGCTTCAGTTTTTGGTCATCCCGCTGGCTGAACGATAAAACTGAACCATGTAGGCCAGCTTTGGGAGCAAATATATTATCATCAACTCCTCCCCCTGAAGGGGTTCATCTACGTATTACCTCCTCTGCTGCCAGATCCAGGAATGTGGACTCTCTGCTTCTTCCTCATCCATGGAACTTCCTGTCTGTACCTGACATCACTTCCTGTCTGTCTGTACCTGACATCACTTCCTGTCTGTCTTCCATAGAGACTTCCTGTCTGGGTAGAAGTGAGATCCCCACCTTGTGGAGCTCAGAGGAACTGCAGCCCGAGAAGCGTCTGGTAGTGTGACCCCGGCCTTGTGCTGGGTGTGTATGGACTGTAGATCCTTATAGAGGGGTCACCTCCACTCCCACCAAGGGGGACAGAAATATATGACTGCTCGGGGGAGGGGTTTTGGCCCCTTTGATTTTGCAGTAACATTGATTGCAGATTTAGTCCTGTAGAACATCTGGTATATGGATACAAAGCCCCCCAGCTGGGAGTAAAGGGTGGAAATGGCTGGTGACCCCCAGATTTGGGCAATGATGTCATCACTATAAATGGATAAAACCCGCGCTATGTGTAACAACTCCAAACCTACAAAAACCTTCTAGCGGACTGCTGCTGTAACAAAGGGAAGGATTCCCTGTCATCTAGAAGAGCATTATGTGTCACAGCGCTGTCCTATTGTGTGTGCACAGAAATCATCACAAATACACTACAAATATGTGGAGACATTCAGAGATAAAGAGCTCGGGGCTCCAAATCCTATTCTCTGCACATCCACTGCTTCCACTTTACACCCCACTTCATTGGTCTTATGGGGTTTATCAATAAATGAAGGAAACTGAACCGTGTGCAAATCCATCCACAACATAAAGTGCTTTGTTGTGCTCAAGATGCTGCTCCCTGCAGATCCACTGCTTCCACTTTACACCCACTTCATTCATCTCATCAGATTTGCTGCTATAGGAAATCATGTAAAATGATGTCCCATCTCGCTGTTTGTAAAAACAATTCTGCAGCTAATTGGCCACTAGGATTACTTTTACATGAAAGCCGCCCACCAGCTAATAAACCAGCACTAGAATGATGCCTGTAGCTGCAAGCATCCTCCCGGTATAACCACTCCAAGTCCAGCGACGTTCCAGTACATTGCTGGTCCATGTTGGACATATATGTACCAGCAGAGAACACGGACATACGATGAATCGGGTCTGCGGACCAATATGACTGCAATTCATTCTTTTCTGTAATGTCCATGTTGGGGGTTCGGCCCAAAAATGTTTTAATTTCATAAACGGTGATAGAGTTCCATGTGAATTGTGTGACAAGAGCTGAATTTGGGGGGCGGCCATGTATTGTGGTGTATAAATTGCCTTGGCCCACAATTGGTACAAATCTTCTGTGAAGAACAGTGGAGGGGCTGAACACTAGTGCTGGCAGTGACCGGGCCGATCCGGCTAACACTGAGTATTGGGGACACTATACAAAGCCGGCACTAGTATAGTTCTGTTCATGATCAATATATTGATCCGTACAAACACTATACTAGTAATGGCGGTGATCAGCGACCTATAGCGTGAGTGCGACAGTGTGCGGCCAATCTAACGCCAGCTGACCCTGGCTGGGAGGGGCTTACTGACCCTGACACTATGTGATGTGTCACTAGTGGCAGGAATACAGAGATCAGTGAAACATTCTATATACTGACACTGTACTAATGGCACTGGCTGGGTGACGGGGCCATCAAAGGGTTAAATGTGCTAATCTAACGTGTGTGTACAATGTAGTGGTGCTTTTACTCGGTGCCGTGTGTTCTCTCTTCTCTCCCTGGGACCGACCGGGGGGGGGCAGCAGGGGGGGCGCAGGCGCATTGACACCCCAAAACAGGAAGTGATGCAGATTACGCCACTTTGCCAAGAGCTGCTGCTCGCCCACAAAATGCAGGTAAGTGGTTGGTAAGTAGTTAAAAAAAAAAACCTTAAAAAAAAATTTTAAAACAAAATTCTCAATATGGTATTTAACTTTTTTTTTTTTAATACTTGTATCAGAATAGTAGGATGTTACCATAGTAACCATTGTACTACTGTGGGGGGGAGGGGGGTGATCAGGGATTTTTTTTCCACACTTTTCTTTGCAGGAGGAGAAATAATGATCATTTCTCCTGCAATGCAAAGCTTGCTGTCAGAACCGAACTCATTCATCAACTGTCATCAGTGAGTTAGATTTTTGACAGCTCAAGATAGTGATCTGTGATTGGCTGGAGCTGGTCACATGGTACAGGGTGCTGTGATTGGCCCCATGTATCATGTGACAGCTGTGGGCCAATCACAGCTCACTAGGAGGAGAAGCAGAGCTGTTATGAATGAGATTGATTCATAACAACTGCTTACATTGGGATCACCTAGAGATCACATGATCACGGGTCACAATCACTGGGATCTTCATTCCGCTGTATCCACCAGACACAGCAGTCGGGGGAGGGGAGCGCTGTGTGCCGGCTCGGGTGTGTGTGGTGTGCCTCCTGTGTTAGTACAGCCAGAGTGACGTACAAGTACATTGCTTTGCCTGTAGCTGCCGCCTGGCCACAGTACATTGCGGGTGGGAAGCGGGTAATCTAGGACTAAGGATTCCAAGCTCACTCCTTGGGCCATGATATCATCCAGGGCAAGAAATGTAAGTTCTGTGTTCCAATTATGAGGTGACAACAGCATAGAGTGCTTTCAGGATAATGGACAAAGGTAGACAAGCATTGCATGCTGTTTTGTGTGAAGCAAGTCTGTCTCCTTTTTTATTACAGATAATACATTTTGTTTGGCTTTTTCTACATTGTTCCCCGATCCTGACATTCGTGGCCTCCTGGGCTGGATGTGCCGCTGGATCCAGGCCCTGGAGCAAGCCCTGGAGGTGGAACCAGACGAGGACCAGCCCAGCCTTGGAGCCTATTTCAGGCAGCAATTTTAGTTTAGTTACAATTTTTTATGATGTTTTATAGTTTTCTATTGATTGTTGGTAATAAATGTTCTATTTCTCTTGGACAGTGCCCTGTGTTGTTGTGTCTTCTTCAGCCTTTGCAGGTCGGCAATCTTCTTCATTGCAGTTGGAGCTGATCTGCATGTCCCTAAAGCATTGCAGGACTCTGCTAGCTCCAGCTGCACTGGACAATCTTGCTTACCTGGAATTTCTGGTAATGTCCCCAAACGAAGTGTTTTCTGGCAAGTCCAGCTTTAGGACTGTAGCAGATA